AACCCATTTTAGATTTGCGTCGGGCGCAAGAGTCATTCATCCCGCCGCCGAGATCCGCCCACAAAGCTACTTGCGTTTGATACTTGCGTTTCAGATCGTTAAGATAGGGCCCATAGAGTGTTTAGTCAGTAACATGGGTCAGTAACAGTCTGTCCTTTCTGCAGTAATCACAGAATTCATTTTCTGGTATCCTGTTCCTATTCTATCCAATGAGGAGAGAGAACTCCACAAAGAGGCGGTCCTCAAGGGCAGCAAAATTTCAACATGGTGACATGGGGAAGAGGGACGGGACTGCTAACTGCAAGAACGGAAAGGAAACAGATACCTAGCTCTTTCCAAAGGTAATATAATCTGCCTACCAAAAAAAGCTCACTAATTAACACTTTTTTTTTTAGTCTGCATTTGTTGACTAGCCTAACTCCACAAAGTCACTCCACCCGACCAAGAAAAAAAGCTACAACTCATCATTTTTACACTTTGGTTTTTGTACGGTTTAAACACACAAGATATAAGATCTTAATTAGATAGCTTTACTTTGCAGATTTTGTTAACTTTGGACAGAATCAAGCTAGCTGTTTCCCTCAGTTTTTATGCTAAGCTAACTGCCTCCTGACAGTGGCTTCATCAGTCTCTTCTCAGTAATACCAAAAACATTTAACTATTCCCTATCTAAACATGCTCACTGTCCATTCTGGGCAACGGACTATCGAGTCCCAAACTTTCACTTATTTTGTGTTAAACACATTTGATAAATGATGATGATAAGTTCTTTTTCTTGCCATTTCTATACTTGATACTGGTGCATATCACAAGGATTACGCAGGTCATAGGTTATACATTCTGATCAGATTAACCAGAACATCATTATTTTTTTATTACCATTACAAAATGACTTGTTTACAATTGGGCATATTATGTCTAATTTTGGAATGAAACTCTTGAGTTTTTAGCATTATTAAGTTAGTTATTAGGCAATAATAGATTACAAAGACGAGTCATTGGATGCTCTGACTCTAGATGAAGTCGACACGAAAGGAAAAAGAGGGAATTGGCTAAATATTTATGGTGAGGCTAGGCTGGCGAAATGAAAGCAACCGAATACAACTCTCCTCTTGCAGACTGATCAAGCGTGGCGACTTTATCTGTGGGGATTACAATGTGTCAGCAAAGGGGCAGAGGAATGAGAGGGAAGACAGTAAGTATATACATGTCCATCACACTCCTCGCATGGAAACGCTGACCGCTGCAAACCGCTCTTTCCGTAAGAGGTAAAACACATGTTCTATTGATTAAAGCTGTAGAGTATGAGAGAGAAAAGCATGTGCACTGTGTAAACTAAAGCACCACCCCAAGTAACAACAACTGCCGTAAGAAGGTGAGAGGAGCACGATCCCCTTTCAGCACTCAACAATATCCCCTTTTTGGGCACCTAAATCAGCTGTCAGTCAGAATAGCTCTGGCCTGTAATCACGCTATATGGATGGACACACACATACACACACCTCAGCTTAGCTCCATCTGTCCTAAGTGATGGTTTATTTGGAATCCAGAGCCAGGCGACTGTAGCACCACTGAACCTCTCTTTTGACACTTTTCTCACATGTTCAGCACCTGGCTCCTAATTTAACGATTCCTTCAATATTAACATCATGAAATGTCTTTTTCATCAGGTTGCCCAAGCTCACTCATCTACTCCGCCCTCTCCTTTCCATCTTGCTCCTTTTCTTTCTCAAGCCTGTCCTGTCATCTCAGCAGCACCTTTTCATTAAAGCCTCGGTTGCGGTTCTGTTAGTCTCAATCGGTGCAGGGGGAGAGGTGGTAGCACTGCATGTCAGAGGAAGCAGACAAACTGATAGCAGTGTCAAATCTAACATACTGATGCTGTTCAGGCTGTGCCAGTGCTGCACTGGGATGGCCTCTATGCTCTCAGCAAACATATGCATGGACACGTTTGTTCATGATGTAGGCAGGCACATTAAATCTTTAATTAAAACACAGACACCACTGGTAATGTCATTGTTAGGGTTAGGTTAGTATCCAAAATAAGTTAAGAAATTAATTGTTTATCCTTATCCATAAATTCCAAATTTAAGTGCTAAGTTGCACACACTTTTTGACTTACATACTTTTTGACTTTTACATTGTCCTTTTCCCCTTTTTTTCAAGCTACCTTATAGGCAATTTGGGTGATAGTGTCTTGCACACACAGCCACCCATGATGTTTAGTGCTCTCAAGCTGCATCAAAGTTTCAGATTTAACAACAGTCCAACTTGCTGTATGTTTTAAGGTCAAGCCAACTTCAGAGTTTGCTGACATTAATGAATGACTTCTCACTTTGTTGCAAACTTTATTCCGTTGTTTCTGTATACATTTCTGAGGGGGGAGATTTGGAAACCAGCTGGCCTTCAAATTCTTCAGAAACCTGGAGGCAACAGAACTTTTCAAACCGTAGACCAGGTTTAAGTCTGAAACACTGCATCACCAGCCAGAGGTGCAGCTGTGGCTGACCCGGATGTCATTGTTAAGGGTTCGAAAGGAAAGCCTCCATACAGGGATTAATAACTTTAATCCCTGTTGGAAGGTTTGTCAAATATAGTCCCAGTGAGGTGTACATGACGTTCAATAGGGCAGTCCTACAGGTTACAAGTGGAACGCCATCAGGACGGGTGACATGCTGGTACAACGGGAGGTGGTAAAGCAGGGTTTAGCCAGTGAGGAGGAATAAAATATTCAGTTAAAAGGTAATCGAGGGAGGAAAGGACAGAGAGGTGAAAAAAACAAATTTTCCACTCTTCCTCCAAGCCACACTGGCCAGAACCTGCTGAAATTAAAAGTATCAAACGTGGTTTAATAGACTACAGACTGTACAGCACATCAGTTTGGAGTTCCAGATA